CCCTCGATCCCATCCCCAAGGTTGACCCCTCGACCGCCCTCAAGCTCATTCGCGAGCACAAAACTCTGGAGGGAGTGGTCAAGTTTATGAAGGAGGATCCCAAGAGCAAATATGTCATTCCTGAGGACTGGCCCTTTGAGGATGCCAGAGACCTCTTTTTCAACCCTGACGTTCGCCAGGCGGATGACCCGCTTTGCGACTTCAAGTGGGAGAAGCCTGACATCGAGGGGCTGGTTCAGTTTCTGGTCAAGGAGAAGGGTTTCTCTGAGGACAGAGTGAGGGGCGCGGCGGCGAGACTGGAGAAGAACATGAAGAGCAGCCAGCAGAGCAGAATCGAGGGCTTCTTCAAGGTGCAGCCCAAGACGGAGGAGCAGAAGAAGGCGCACAAGCGGAAGCTGGAGGAGCAGAGCGAGGCGAAGAAGAAGAAGCTGAAGGACGAGAAGAAGGAGAAGGCCAAGTTGAAGGCTAAGCCGAGGGGGACTGCTTGATTTTGTATCCTGTCTATGGGGGGTGGTTTGCTTTCACGACATCTGGAGGGGAGGGGATCTGGTAATGGTCACATGGCTGGCTTGCTTTGGGTGGGAAGGTAAGCTGGGTCTGGCGTTTATGGTGTTGATACTGGGCGGGGAATTAGGTTGCTGAGCCTCAAATCGGGATTCTTTGCTATTATTGGGGAAATAAGGAGAAGCATATATCACGGTAGTAGCCTGGCAGTAACAATGATCAAGCACAATGCACTGTCAACATGACATGTTCGCCGCAAGCTGCATTTTGCATTTTTGCATCTCGACGGATCTCCGAGTTGGGGTTTGCATTGCACTGTCTTTTGGAGAAAGTGCATAACCTGGAGAGGGCTGTTTTAGTGCAGGGGTGGGTGCGTGCCTGATTAGGAAGATACCTCGGCTTGTTCTTGTTCGGTGGGTTAGCGGTCGAGCGGTAATCCTGGCGATGCCAATTGGTTCATCAATTTAGTTGCTTCGGGGTTGCATGACATCACAGCCGAGGGACCGTCATTTGCTGCTGCTGCTAGTTGTTGAATATTTTGGAGGAGCGGGCTTGTTTGAATTTGTATAGGGAGCGGTGCATGTGACTGTTCCAAGGCGGGACGAGGAATTGTTCTGGATTCGGGGGCTGTCTGGGGAGGGAGGGGCACATGACTCTTGAGCTGATAGATTCGACAATCATGTATCATCTTGGAATGGCTGTGATCCAACGGACAGATATCATCCTCGGGGATTCCTTTCAAAAATGGAGGAAGCTCGTGAAATTCAAAACCACTGACGGGGATGGTGGATTGTCTACCCCACGTTTCTCCCCACTGATGGTTTATTCTACCCCACATTCCAGAACAACGTTGCCCCTTGTGTGTGTTGTGTGTGTGTGTGTGCGGTGGTGGTGTTCTTGTGCTTGCTCCGAGGCTTAAATGTTGGAGAGGGACTGGGTGTCGAAGATGTGTTCCTCATGGAAAATGTGGTACCTGGCGGGCAAGGGCAAAGAAAGACATGAATCCCGTTCAGACGTTAAGGCGTTGTCCGTTACGTCTAGGCTCGCAACGGCGCACGATAGAGCAAACGCGGCGCAACGGTAGCTGTTACAAAAAGTCACTTTCACGGGCATACTGTCAGGTACAATATGTACCCTACAACAAAACCCCGAAATCTGAAGAGGCTGGATGGGAACACAAAGACACGTGCCCCGGACTTTTTTCCTGGAACAAATTTCCGGGGTAGAGCATACGGTACTAGGATGGTAAAGGCGGGTTTTGCGGAGAGCTCGGCATGGTTTGCATGTGATTATCCTGCACCGCTGACGAAAGCGGCCCTTTATGGAGACACACCCGCGCCCGCTCATGAAGGGGGGGAGTAGTTAGTTTTGCTTGATCGCAAAAGCTGTTTCGTGTGTTTTTTCTTTCTCTTTTCCTCTCTCTCTCTTCTTCATTCCCATCACCTATCCTGGACTGTTTGAGAGTTCACCACACACACACACACACACACACACACACACAAGAACCGCCACAATGTCCAAGACCTTCACCCAAGCCGACGTTGCGTCGCACAAGACGACTGATTCCTTGTGGATCACCATCGACGGCGATGTTTATGACCTGACCAAGTTCCAGGATGACCATCCAGGTGTGTGCACATTCTTCTTTTGGCGCAATAGATTTGGTGTCTTTTGGGCGCGCAATGGTTGCTGACTGAGATGGTTTGACAGGCGGCAAGAAGATCCTCCAGAGAGTCGCCGGCAAGGACGCCTCGAAGCAGTTCTGGAAGTATCACAATGAGGGTATTCTCAAGAAGTATCAGAAGCTCCAGATTGGCTCGTTAGATACCAAGCCCAAGAAGGAGGCACCCCCTGCTCCCGCGCCCAAGAAGGAGGCCCCTAAGCCTAAGCCTGCTGCTGCTGCTGCTGCTTCTTCTGCCCCTGCTGGGGAGGCTGAGGCTCTTGAGCCGTTTGGAGAGCAGATTCCTTTTGGTGATCCTGCGTGGTACCAGGGCGTAGGTTTTACTCATGCCATGGCTCTCTGTGACAGCAGCTAACAGAATAACCTAGCACCACTCCCCCTACTTCAACGAGACCCACGCCGCCCTCCGCGCCGAAGTCCGCGAGTGGGTAGAGACCGAAGTCGAGCCCTACGTCACCGAATGGGACGAGAAGAAGGAGGTCCCCGCCCACATCTACAAGCAGATGGGCGAGCGCGGCTACCTCGCCGGTCTCCTCGGCACCCACTACCAAAAGGACTACGTCAAGAACCCCATCAAGTCGGTCCCCGCCGAGAAGTGGGATCTCTTCCACGAGATGCTCCTCACCGACGAGCTCTCCCGCGTTGGATCCGGTGGCTTCGTCTGGAACGTCATTGGTGGCTTCGGCATCGGCTGCCCCCCCTTGGTCAAGTTCGGCAAGAAGTCTGTCGTCGACCGTGTCCTCCCTGGCATCCTCAACGGCGACAAGCGCATCTGCTTGGCCATCACCGAGCCCGACGCCGGTTCCGACGTCGCCAACCTCACCTGCGAGGCTAAGCTCTCCGAGGATGGCAAGCATTATATCGTCAACGGCGAGAAGAAGTGGATCACCAACGGTATCTGGTGCGACTATTTCACCGTCGCCGTCCGCACCGGCGGCCCCGGCATGAACGGTGTTTCCCTCCTGCTCGTCGAGCGTGACTTCGGCGGTGTCTCCACCCGCAGGATGGACTGCCAGGGCGTCTGGTCTTCGGGCACGACCTACATCACGTTCGAGGACGTCAAGGTCCCCGTCGAGAACCTCATCGGCAAGGAGAACCAGGGCTTCCGCGTCATCATGACCAACTTCAACCACGAGCGCATCGGCATCATCATCCAGTGCCTCCGCTTCTCCCGCGTCTGCTACGAGGAGTCGGTCAAGTACGCCAACAAGAGGAGGACGTTTGGCAAGAAGCTGATTGAGCACCCCGTCATCCGGCTCAAGCTGGCGCACATGGCGAGGCAGATCGAGGCGTCGTACAACTGGTTGGAGAATGTGATTTACCAGTGTGAGAAGATGGGCGATACCGAGGCTATGCTTCGTCTCGGCGGCCCCATTGCCGGTCTCAAGGCTCAGGCTACCGTCACGTTTGAGTTCTGCGCCCGTGAGGCGTCGCAGATTTTCGGCGGCTTGTCCTACTCTCGCGGTGGGCAGGGTGGAAAGGTCGAGAGGCTGTACCGTGATGTGAGGGCTTATGCTATCCCTGGCGGTTCCGAGGAGATTATGCTTGACCTCAGCATCAGGCAAAGTATGAGGGTTGCCAAGATGTTGGGTATGAAGCTTTAGGGGAGGGTTGTTGTACAAAAGATGAGTGCTGTAAGAATGGTGTACCAGTATGGGTGGTCGGCGGTAGACGGCATCGTTTCATATTTCTCTCTCTTTTGGTTTTTCATCATCTGTTCTTAGCATGATATCAACAACAGATTTGTTTTTTTTTCTATTTTTTTTTCGGTTATAAGAATGGCATTTGGATAGGATGTTCTGGTGGTGGAGCTGTCATGGGGTGTAGCGGGAGCATAGAAATATATCTGATCAACATTAAACTTGTCTTCAACTTGCTCGCTGTTGTATAGTGGACTTGCGCATGGTTTCGATGGCTGTGCCCCCTTGTAATCGTGAGAAATGCCAACACAAAGCGTCCAAAGGCCCCCCGTCCTCTAAATGTCATGGCTGAGCTCCCAGCAAGAATCCCACACAGTGACGAAGAATGCCTACTATATTCTCCCTCTCCGCATCCACACTAGAAGATACCCCCAAATATACATCTACCCCTGTTCTTCAGAGCGCCATCCATTCCAAATTATCTATCTCCCGATTTCGATAATCATGCATTTGCAACCCCCAAACGCCAACCAAACAAAAAAACCCCTGCGCTTTCCCATCTATGATACCAAATAATACAATTCTTTTTTCCCGGTGTTCCCTGAGCACGAGAGAGAACCCACCCTTCCCTTATATCATCACCTCATGCCCGACCCCTCCCCCGGCGGCATATCAACCATCTCATACCCCCCCCACCATCCCTCCCCCGCCCGTTCCTTGGTCCCCTGCTAAACCCCTGTTCCAGATCTTCCTCCCCGTCCCCCGCCCCCCTGACATGCTCATTCGAGTTCCTCAGCTCCCCAGGCTGCGACTGCCCCCTCGCATGCCCGTTATTGTTGCCGGCACCATTCCCCCCAAACGAAATCGGCTTCAGCTCCCTATACCTACACCCCCAAGTCCCGAGCACCACCCCCAGCACGCTAGCGCAGGCCATGCTCACCCACCAGGCCATGTGCTTCGGGAGCTCGCCCGTGTAGAAGGTGACGACGACGAGGTGGATGAAGTGGAGGGAGAGGGCAAAGTCGGTGACGAGTTTGGATCGGCCTATCAGGACTACTATCGCGGCGCCCCTGTGCAAACAAACAAACGTCAGTACCGGGTTGAAAATCAAAATGGGGGAGAGGAAAGGGGAAAACAAACATCAACACCCCCCCGTTCAGCATCGCGAGGAACCCGCAAAGCCACCCCTGCGTCGTGTCCCCTCTTATGCTCTGCCATCCTAGCACCAGGTCGATGGTGAATGCTGTGCCCGCTACCAGGGCGGAGAAGAGGAGGAGGGTGAAGCTGAAGGTGTAGTACAGCGCCTGGAGGGCGAGGATCTGGGAGGCGATTTTGAGGGGGGGGAGTTCGGAGAGGGAGCCTGGGCGAGGGGGGCGGCGGCGGCGGGCCATTTTGTTATCGTCGTGTACGGTGGGTATGGAACGTCTCGCTATCGGGGCATATCTCGAGGAGGGAACGCGCGCGCGGTCGCAAAAGTCTGGATGGGATCCGTGTACTCGGTAAGGAGCTCGGAATGCTCCTGGGGGTTTATTATGATGGGGTTGTGTCGAGCCAGTCGTCGATTATCTCTCTATCGTTTGTATCTTGCTTCTTCGATATACCTGTCTCTCCAAGCAGAGTGTTTCAATCAAGTCCCCGTCGTCAAGCCCAAGGAAATGTTTTTAAAAAATTAAATGTCTGGCGCATCAAATGTCAAAGAAAGATATCTGGCTGTGCTGTGCTTCCTCCAGCAGGCGCACCGCTGCAGCCCCCCGTTCCCGTCCAACGGTACGTAAGATTACATAATCTAACCTTGAACATTAGTAGCCCGCCCACCCCCCCACCCCAACCCCCTGGCTCCCCACATTTTCCCCAATCCCTGTTTCCGGCCGGCAACTGCCATCATCTGCAACCCTCCACCAGCACCACCACTATATCCCACCACCCGACGACAGCAAGCAAAACCGCAACAATGGGCTGGCTATCCTCCTCCTCCCCCGAAGACCAACGCTCCCAAGAAATCCGCGCCGGCACCGTCGCCCCCTCCCGCGCCGAGCGGGCCCGCTGCTGGGAGGCCCGCGACGGGTATTTTGCCTGCCTGGACAAGAACAACATTGTGGACGCGCTGAAAGAGGAGAAAGCCGCTGGCAAGGCTTGCGGGGCGGAGGGCAAGGTTTTTGAGAGGGATTGTGCTGCTCAGTGGGTAGGTTTTTGCAGCCTTTTTATTTTATTTATTCTTTTACCTTCCTTCTGTTACTGGGATGGGGTGGAGGGGGATACACAGGATATGTCTCTCAGGAGGATGGGTGGAAAGAGAAGGGTTGGAGGGAGGAGTGGTTATGAACTTTTGTTGGGTCTCGGAAGAATGTTTTACTGATACGACCGAAAATATAGGTAACATACTTCAAAAAGTGGCGCGTCCAAGACATCCAAAAACGTCAACGCATCAAGGAGCTCGAGGCCCAAGGCGCAAACAGGCTGGACGTGCAGACCGACTTCACGCCAAGGGGTTAATAGGGGGACTTGAGAGCAGGGGAAGGGAGAAGCGTGACGATAGAAGGAAGTGTAAATGTACAATATGAACAACCTCACCAGGTTGAACGGATATCAAAATATGGAGACGGAAATACCATAGGGGAAGGAAGGAACAAGGCGTTTACAGGACCATACCCATAACAAGAACCACAAGATAAATAAGGGAACATCCACAACTCATCATCCAGAGCCAATAATATCAAATGATAAATGTAGTAGTATAACAACATCTATATACAATCCCCTCTCCTTCTCCCACTCCCCCCTCCCCCATCTAAATAAGCACCACCACCCTCTCTCTCCTCTTTCAAAGAAAACCCAAACAATGTAAACCCACTCTCCCAAACAACAGCACCAAGTAAAAAAAATCCTATTTCAATTCCCATACAACAAAAACAACAACAACAACAACAACAACAACAACAGACATCCCATACATTTCTCCCCATCAACCCACCCGACCATCCAAAACATTCAATGCAGAGAGGCGGTAACAAAACGTCTAAAGCACTACTGAACAACACCCCTCTTTCTAACGATAAACCTCAACCATCAACCAAGCACAAACTGTGTCTCTGTAATGAATGAAAAGTGAATGAGAAAAAAAAGAGCGTCCATAATCAGGGTCGTCAGTCAGCCTCAGTGTAATAGTAGTCCCCTCCAACAAACATACCGGCCCGTTTGGTTGATTGTAAAAAGAATAATGTGTGTGTAATGTCTGATAAAAACTGTATGTTGAATAAGAAAGCAAGAAGAAAAATGAGTTTTTGTGTGTGTATGTGTCCTTGTAAGAGAGAGAGGTGTTTTGTGCAGTTGGTATCATGAGGTCTGGTTCTTCCAAGATAACGACACACAGAGAGAGACAGAGAGAATGAAAAGAAGGAGAGAGAAGAAAAACGACAAGAAAAGGGGGTTCCTGATCCACCCCCACTGAATTCAATCAAACGCAACAGCAACAAAAAAAACGCAAAGAAACAAAGCCAAATCCCAGTTTCCATCCATCATCCTTCCCCCCCCCCCCCCCTTAGTAATCATTAAGCCGCTCGCTACACAACTTTCCCTTTCCTACTTCCCCCTCCTCCTTCTCATCCTCAATCCTAATCGTGACAATCGCCACCGACGAACCCGAAAACCACATCTCCCTCGTCCTCTCCCAATCCCTCTGATCAGGCGTCACCACCCTCTTGCCCTTTTCCATTGTCGAGCCGTCATCCCTCTAAGAACTCCCATTGACCCTCGGCAGCGGGGGCAGCGCCTTATCCAAACTATCCCTACTGATCTGGTTCTTCACATGCCCCTGGTCCAACCGGCTCTTTTGGCTCCCCGACACGCTCCTCAACCCGCCACCTTGACCATACCCGCTATCCACGCTGTCTGGCTTCATCATGGTGTGATGCGAGACGCCGCCATAGCCATGGCCTGTTTTGGGCGGCGTCGGTGGCGGTCTCCCTGAATCGCTGCCCCTACTCCTACCACCCATCAAATGGCTGGTAAAGGTCCCTGTGCGGAAATCATCACCGTCCTTTGCGGGGGTGGGCGGTCGGTGGTCGTCTTCTTGACTGAGACGACTCGTGTGTGATTTCTGACTGCGGCGGGACTTGGTTGACTGGCTTTCAGCCGCTTCCTCTACCACCGGCAGAACTGCTGTGTCTCGACGGTCACCAAGCGGCGGGGACTGATGTTTCCCGCTGCTGGAACCAGGGTTATTGGACGGAGAGGCGGTAGTTCGGAGAGTTCGATCAGGTATGTTCTCCTCGCTCGGGCCGCAATGCTCGCTTCTCCTTGCTTGCTCCTCAGCCTTTTGCATCGTGAGCTCAACCTCGGGAGATTTCATGCCCGACGACGAGGCTCCCGGTGGCGCTGGAGGGAGGTAGCTTGGTACTGGAGGAGCTGCATTCGACGAGCGGCCCCGGAGACTATTCCAGCTGCCTACCCGTTGTCGTTCCTCCGAGGCGGCAGCAGCTGCTTGGGCTGCGTCTCTTTCTTGAGCTTCTCGCAAAGCCTCCTCCTGTGACATTGTTACGCCGTTGATAAAGTTGATGAATCTCTCGCCGTACTCATGTGGCGGGAGGGCCGAGATCTGCGTGCGATCGCTCGACAGGCCCTTCCAAAAGTGCTCGATCTTTTTGATCATGCCGTACTGTGGTCATGTTAGCACACCCCCTCCTTCAGTCTGACGAGAAACTTACGTGAGTGAGACAATCAATCACCCCCAGGTAGTAAATCTCATCCCCCGGTGCATTATCCTCATGCGTCGCCCTGAATCCTCCATCATCCTGGTTAAACACAAAGCCGGACTTCTGCCCGTCCTCAAGCTCATCCGGCATCCGGCTACTAGTTTCGCCCATGGGCACTGGCTTCTCCGTCTGGATCATCTGCCTCAGCTCTCTCGCCTTCCGCTGGTTCTCCAGCTTTGACGGCGTCCTCATCAGAACCGAGTGAGGGTTCTCATCCTCCGGGACGCCATTGCCCCCCGGGTTGAACACCCGCAACGTCTTATCCCGTAAGTTTTCCTCGTTCCCTCTCTGAAGATCGTGGATGCCTATCAGCAGCGAGTAATCCATGATGTGCAGCTTCTGCAACAACCGCACATCCTTCTGCAGTTGCTCCAAGAACATCTTCTTTTTCTGAATCCCCAGCTCAAGATGTCTCTTCCGCCGCAGCCAGTTCAGATCCTTCAGCGTTGCCCTCGGGTTGTTCGCCAGCTCCTCCTCCCTGTAGTCTCGCCCAATCGTCGAGCCCTTCAAGTCGAAAGTCTGGTGGATGTCCCGGTGTGGCGGGAACAGGTTGTTCATGACGACAAAGTGGATCTTTTTGCCGTAGGGCATCTTGACCCGGTGAAGACCGTAAAACTGCGAAAGCAGAGTGTTGGGGTTGTTGGTGACATGCTGGTAGTAATCCTTCAAGATCTTCCTGAGAAACTTGTGCTCGGCGTGGTGGATCGTCTTGATAATGTACTTGTAGTCCCGCGAAAAGTAGAAAAAACTTCCACTCTTGCCCGGCGACCCAAGCTCTGACAAGATGTACTTACCCGTCAAGGACATGAGATAGTCGGCAGGATCGAGGCGGAACAGTGCTCGCAGGTGGCGGAAGACCCACGGAGCATAGTCCTTGAACTTGAAGTCGTACTTGGCCGACGGCACCAGTTCGTTTCCGGCACTTTCTGAATGTTAGCTTAGCTTCCTGGAGTTGCCGATCGTTCCACTCACATATCGAAAGTAGACTTCTGCTTGACGTCGAAGTCGGCGTCCGTCAGCTGCCGGTCAAGTTTCGCGTTGGTTCTCGACACGGCCACACGGATGCCAGTCAACATATTGTATGCCGTCACCCAGTTCGCGTGCGTCTCATCCACCTTTGTCCCGACCAGCACCCTGTCATCATCCTCAATTTCCCTCCTTCTTCTCTTGGTAGCGCGCTTTTGCCTGTACGCTTCGGCCCACCGCATGGCATCTTCATCCGGCATCACCTCATGGTGGGCCTCCGAGTGCAGAGATCTCGTGTTCCTCCTAGCCAAACTCAACGATGCTCTCCTAACTCCGCCGCCAATGGTGGGCGAGAATCTGCCGCTAGCATAACCTTCGGCCCCATCCCGCGATCCGCGCCCTTGTGTTACCTTGGGAACCTCGAGTGTGTGACGGTGCTTGATCCCAGGGGCAGGTGGTGGTGGTGGTGCTAGCGGGCCTGAGGCAGTCGGGCCGGGAAATGGAGGGGAGGAATATCTGTGTGGCGCCTTTTGGTTTTTCGGTTCCGGGCTTAAAGAATCGGACGTCGCGGTCGAGGCGTTGACAGGCAAGGTTGCTACCGACGACTCGTTGTTATCCTGAACTGTGCGAATGCCCCCTTTACTTATTGGCCGCGCATATGGGTCGGCCTGCGCGGTACCGTTACCGTCGAGTCCTGAACTGACAGATATCCGCGGAAAGGCCTCTTGCGGGCTCGATGTTGTTGAATCATTCCCCCTTCCATTAGCCTTTAGCGTCCTGTCCACCAACACTGTCGAATTGCCATTCGGTAGTGGTTTGCGGCTCGTCGAGTCGATCGTGGTGTTGCCCAATCCGTTCGTCAATCCTCCAGCAGAACTGCCGTTTGGCAGCGTGTTCATACTTGGGGGAGCCTTTTTCGGATATTCCCCATTCACGTCGTGGTTGAGTCGCGTTCGCGGGTCGGCAGAGGCCTCGGAGGTTTGTGAAGAATTAGACGAGTTGTAGGAGCTCTCGTCGAAGCTCTCGTTGGATGTGTGCGAGTGTGGCTGGCGCGCAACGTGTACATTGACTTTGCCGGGGTTCGACAGGCCGTACTGGGCGGCTTGATCGAGGTGCACGAGGCCCGAGGATTGGGAGTCGATTGCCGCACTTCCGTCCGGCAGGAAGGAGGGCATCGCGTGTCGGGTCGTGAGATTGGGGGGGTCGGGGGGGGGGGGCTTCTGGCTGTTCCAAGATTCGATTGATATTACGGACGGTCGGCAGTGGCGCACATGCTCTCTCACACTCTCTCGATAACTCGATACAGACACGGGGTGTTTGGCAAAGGGAAGGGGGCAGGGGCAGGACAGCGTCAAACAGGAGAACAAGGAAGTGTAGTCGGAATTGATGATGATGATGGATGGGTTCCGCCGCGTCGGGCTCGATTCGTCGGCTTTGGGATGCGAAATGGAGGGAAGGGCAAAAGCAAGGCCGAGTTGGATTGATTGTGTCGACGGTCGGTTGTGGTTCAGCTGGTCTGGGCGGGAATCTTTGCTGCGCAGGGGCCGAAAGAACAAGCAGAACGCCGCTTGGCGGTACGGTACGGAGCAACAGAGTATGTACGCTGTCGTGGCATTCGCTCTCAGGCTTTGCTTGTTCTCTTCTGGTCCTCACAGCGTAGGTAGATCAACAAATTGGAAGGATTCATGAATATTTTGATTATGGACGAAAAGAAAAAGGAAAAAAAAACTCCGTCGGTGCTGTGCTGTGCTGTACTGTGCTGCGCTGTGGTGCTGCGCTGTAGCCAGGCGCAGTGCTCTCGGTTTAGGTAGTTACCTGTAAAAAGCCCAGACCTCCCCGCCATTTCAAAGCTCCAGTGGTCAGCAACAACCCCGTTGCGAGGCGACACGGGACTCGGCGCCGAGACAAACGCACCCCGTTGCTTTTGACCTTGCGACGATCACCAGTTTTCAAAGAGTGCATTTCCGCTGGCTTTAGGGAATATTCCGGGATTTTCAAACTATATGTCTTCCTTTTCTCCTGATCAGTCTGCCTACATAGAACTGAAATGGCTGGAAAAGAGAGGACATTCCCAGAGCACCATCCCCCTTATCTCTCTCCAAAACTGGTCGGCCGACCCATTGCCCGACCTTCCGTTCAAAGGTGATCTCCCGTGCTTCGCGTTTTTCACTCTCCCCCCCAAGCAATTACATCATTTTTGTACATACTTGGTCCCCAAATCAACCGGGCTGCCTCTCGTTTATTTACCACCATCATCAACAAAACAGTGGGTTTTGCCGTGTCAAGTTTGCCCATAAAATCCCACTTGCTCATTTAAAGCAACGGCTTCCCCTGTCTCTGGCTGCTCCGTCCGTCGGGCCTTCGGCGCCTGAAAAGGAGGCTTGGTCCCTGGCATTCCTGGGTACAGGATATATGTAGCTAGGCCCAGTGTCGAGACGACTATTCTGTCCACAGCCCAGCCATACAGAGCCCTTTGTTCCCACATGGCAGATACCAAGACGGAAGACGGCAGCAGCGGCAACAAAACCCTCCTTTTGCACACATTGTCAATCCCTTCTCGCCAAAAAAGTCAGCTGTTTCAAAACCTTCAAAATCATCTGTCATGAGTATTCTCTCCTTTCTCAGCGGAGTTTCCCGTCAACCCCGTCTGCGCTCTGCAGAAACTGTTCTCGCTTGCCTGTCCCAAATTCCCGGTCGTGCAGCTTGTTAGCGTCGCCATGGAGGCTGAAGGCGGAGTTTGTAAGATTGCAGAAGGGAGTTTCTATTTCTGGCATGTCAGTCAGCCAGCCCCCCTGAATACTATCGCAGCCTTGTTTTCTTTTGGGACTTCCAGAAGGTTTCTTGATCAGGCCTATGAAAAGAATGAGACACATCCTGGATGAAGACAGAAAGGATATAGTATCACAGGTGTCCCGATTTGCATTCATCTTCACAAAACAATTAGTATAAACTAGCCATCTTTTCAGCCCCTATCGGCCACGGCGTCTACATATATATTTATAACCATCCATTGACTGATTTTCTCACCATCTCTATTCCATCCACAGCATACAAGTCCAAGAATAGTGTCAACTTCAATCATGAATTCAATTTGCGTCTGTCTCACTAGGTATCTCGTGCTCATGCTCCCAAATCCCGTGCTTTCGCTCGTCATCCCATGCAAAAATGTTGCCAGTTACAATGAAGAAAAAAATGAAGAAAAAAAAAAACCATCCAATCCAATCAAAAAGAGTCCCGGTGTTCCCATTCATGACTTGACCACCACATATTCTCCCATCGCGGGGTATCCCGCCAAAAAGAAACAAAACACATCAATACAATGCAACCCAAGATGCAGATGTCAACATGCAGAAAACAAGGTATGCCCATCATCACCCATCATGCCATTCAACCTCACCCCAACCCTTAAGCAGTCCTCCTCTCAACAATCGCCTCCCCCCTCGGCTTCCCCCCGACAAACCCCCCTCCCACGGCGCCAAGCTGGAAAACCTTCTCCCCCCTAACCCAACTCTCCCTCACCCGTCCAACAAACTGCCTCCCCTCCCACGGCGACACCTTATTCTTCCACCTCATCTCCCCGCTCCTCAACACCCACCTCTCCTCGCTATCAAACACGCAAAAATCCGCGTCGTGCCCGACCTTGATCGCGCCCTTGCGGTGATACAGCCCCACCTGCTGCGCCGTGGCCTGCGAGCACATCCTTACCATGTCCACCAGATCCGGCGCCGGTAACCCGTGAGCGGTTCTGTCAGTGGCGATGGTGTGCAGGATGGGAAGACCAAGGCCGACAGAGGAAATCCCGCCCCAGGCGGCGAAGAAGTCGCCTTGGTTGGTGTTTGTGATGGGGAGGAGACGTTGTTGGGGGGCGGGGTTGGGGTGGTGGGTTGTGTCGGCGCAGCATGTGGTAGCAGTGGTGGTGGAAAGGGGGTTGGTGGGCTGCTCCTCGATGGGGGAGGGGGTTTCCGACGCAAGAGTCATCACCACGCCTGAATCCGTCGGCTTCAGCTCTGGCCGGGAGGAGGCGTGGGAGCAAGACTTGTCGTGGGTTTGATCAGAGGGCAAAGTCATATCAACACCCGAGTCGGAGTGATGCATATTCGGCCTCAGCGAATCATCATCCACCGTCTGAAGATGCGGAGGCAGCAGCTTCAGCTCTGGCGTGCAAGGGCTGTGGTCAGAGACAATAGTCTTGATGCACCCCTCCCCTTGCGCCTCAACAATCTCCTCCCACAGCCGGTCTTGGTTGGTCTGCGACCGGATGGGAGGGCAGCACTTGTGACGAGTGTCGCCGTCTTCAATGTCATCTGCCGCGAGGCCGAGGTAGTGGAAGCATGTCTCGGCCGTGATGTTGACGCCTTCCTTGCGAGCATTGCGGAGGATGGGGATCGCCTCTACGGCGGAGAGGTGGACGATGTGGAGGTGCAGCTTGGGTGCCAGCTCGGCCAGGGAGACGATCTCCTCGATGGCATACGTCTCAAAGGCTGGGGGGCGAGACTCCAAGAAGGTGCTGTAGCTGAAGAGATCGCCTTTGGGGGCGAGAGGTGGGTCAGAGATTTGGACGTAATCGCCCACGGACTCGGTGATGGGGGGGAGCATCTCGGCATGGAACATCAAGGTGGTGGGGGAGTCTTTGAGTGTGGTCATGGCCAAGGCGATGTCTTTGGAGGACACGGCTGGGAACTCATCCACCTGTGATTGGGTTAGCTGACTGACTGGATGGCTGGACATAGATCTGATAGGGAATAGGATGGGGTGACTAACACCAGAGTCGATAAGGAAACCCTTGAAGCCACGCACACCAGCCTCGACCAGCGGGAGCAGCTCGCCTGCGTTGCCGGGGATGACACCTCCGTAGAAGCCGACGTCGACCCAGCATTGGCCCTGGCTAGCACGAAGCTTCTCTTGGAACCCTGCTAGGGTGGTGGTGGGCGGGATGGCGTTGAGCGGCATGTCGATAACGGTTGTGACACCGCCAGAGGCGGCTGCCTTAGTGCCCGTGTTGAAGCCCTCCCACTCGGTACGGCCCGGCTCGTTGAGGTGGACATGGGCGTCTACCAGACCGGGGAGTAGGAACTTGGGGCTGAGGTCATTGTATGTGGTATTGGGGGGGAAAGAGCTCCCGGGCAAAACTTCACGGACTACGGAGAGAATCTTGCCGGTCACCGGTGATACAGTGACGGTGGCTGGTGTGAGAAGGAGGGTGTCATCTGGGAGTGTGATGATGGTGTTTGTCGAGGCCAGCACCACAAGGGGCTGCTCGTTCTGTTGGAGCGTGGTAGCCATATTGAAGAGAGAGGTGTGTCGATTTTTCCCCCAAAGCCACAGCTCGAAGGGGTGAGGGAAGTGAAGTCAGAAAGAGACAGGGGATCAGGATAGGATGATGCTAGGCTATCGGGACCCGGCGATATGGTTTGGTAGTTTGCAGGATAAGGCGTCTGGGCTTCCTATAAGGGAGGGGAGAGAGTCTTATCTCTGGGTTGCGGGATGGGTGTGCGGCGGTGCGGGACAGTTTTGATAAGTAGCCGTGAGACGAGTGAGAATAAAGGTTGCACGGCGCAATGTGATCCGTAGGCGAGAATGGGGGGTGTGGTGTGGTGGTAAGCAAGATACAGGGTCTTGGCCGGTGGGAGCAGTCAAAAGATGAGATGTGAAAGTGAAGATAAGATATCGAGTCACCAACGAGGACAGACACAAACATATATATATATAAAGAGAGGGAAGGAAAGGGAAATATCCGGCACGGTTTCTTTCCGGCCTTGTTTCTTTGCTTCCTTTTGGCAGGCAGTCAAGGCAATGGCCTCAGCAAAATCCACTCCATCCACCTTGAACACACCGTCAGATTCCGAGAATTCTCCCAGGCATTGGAACGGCTGCCATGATCCAGACCGCCCCCCCCCCTCCCTCCCGGGAGGGAGACAGATTCCCATACACCCATATCACTTGTTGCGGTCTCGGAATCGCATTGTCGCATGCAGCAGCACAGGAACGAGGTCATTATCAGAGGATGGCCCACCGAGCTGATAAGGCGCTTGGTGGATCTCTTTTTAGATGCCAGGACCCTGGCGCCACGACCTTATCTCTGGCAGCTGACTGGCCGTGCTGATTAGATCGGATGCGGCCGGGCTGTATTGGGTTCACGCCCTGCCGATCAGTGGCTGAAAGTGACGGCACGCCCGTCTTTCAGAGCATGGGCCACCCTTCTAGCCCCGCACATTCTAGACCCCACCGGGGTGCGGCAGGCAGACCTGCTTCCTTTTTTGGCGGGGATCCGAAGCTATCGTGAGAGAGTTCACGCTTGTGAGTTTTGATCGAGTAACGATCGAGTAAGCTTCTAGAAGGATGCGGATCTGATTCGCTGGACCGGTCTTTAAGCACTTTTCTCTCCCTTTTTTGTCTGTCCGGCATCGTCCGTATGGTCTTCGTATCTGGCTCTGGATGATATCCCTCACCAATGAACGAACCTGGAAGTTGCTCACCTCACCTCGGCCTCGCTCTCCGGCCATACCATCCCCGCAACGCCCCCCAACCTTTCTTTGTTCGAGCCCCGAGGTGAAGTCATCTCGGTTTGCTGTCTCCAGGTCTGGCCTGTCTGCTTGTTGTTCTCTCGCCAATTCTTTCGCCCATCAGAGAATTGTTGAATATCAGGCGGTGTAGCTGCTGACCAGACCCAGCCAAATATGGTCACGATGGCGATACCGATAATGTTTCCAGAACCACTCGGCACGCCACGTATCCATCATCGATGTGTCATATTAAGTCCGATTCAAGCCAGAAAGCTCTGCAAGCTCTGGTGTTGTCTTTTTTCATGCTTTAAGCTTTTCGACCTCGCTGACTCGGCAATGGTTCCGCGGACCGAGCACATCATCACCGGCAGCGGCCTGCTGGGTTGTTTCTTTTGAGGCTAGCCCAGCGGCTGTCACCGGTGCTCCCAAGAAACACCAAGCACCCGCAGCTCGCCTACGACGTTTACATTTGTCATAATTGAACGGTTTGGCCTCTGGGGTGCAGCGGGTTGACCGGGACGTGGAGCGGTTCTGGAGCAGGTCGTGGTGGTGGTGGTGGTGGTGGTGGTGATGGACTGCCGGACAGGGCATTGTGTGTGGCTTGTGGATGCTACCGTACCTTATGTTCCGGGGGACCCTGAGTGGCAAAGCTTTTCTCCGAGAAAACTCCCGGTGAGTCCGGCCGAGATTGTCGGTGCCGCTCCGGAGCCGAGGTGCTTGGGCATTGCTTGTCTTGATCCGTGTCTGAGTGATGTGTAAGTTGGCGATGGCTTCATTCAGTCATATAATTCTTCAGCGTACTTGGGTGAGAATTAGAAAATGTGTTGGTAAAAAGCCCAGCATGGTTGGAATATCAATGACGCTAAAGCCCCAGAAGATAGCACATAGCTTTTTCAAGCTGTCTCAAAGGCATGTACTTTTTCCAAGGCCATCTTTCATCAAGGCCTATCGTCCATGTCAGAAGTTCTACCACCTTCTTACAGGACCTATACATCATCCTGAAAGGATTCCTAGCTACTATCTTGAGGTCTGCCCAAGATCTTATTGTTCTATTCTGACAGAAGGTCAGATGGCATATCCAAGTTGTTTCCCAGGTACCCACATTTTTATTTATGAGCTAAGGACATCTGTAGCTCAATGGGAGACATTGAAGGCTTAGAGAATCATTCATTGACGAATCTAAAGGTACTTCCAAATCAGAGATGGACATCCTTCTTGATTTCCTGTTTGCGGTGATAATTCGCCAAATAAGGGGCTTCTTGAAGGCTCTCTTTGATGAAGCTAAGGGTCATTTTACTTTCATCTTATAACGTCCAGACATTCTACTTCCTGGCTGATCTCATTGTGCCCAGGTAGCTGGCCAGCTCAGACTTCGCTCTCGAGAGCAGACACAATAGCAATTCGCACAGCTTGCTCCCGCCTCGCAACGATGGAGTTATCTCTGCTTCCGCCTGTTCAGATGCTACTGGGGAGCACACACAATAGCAAATTTCCACAGATTGTTCCTGCCTCAGATCAACAAAGCTCTATCTGTTTCCGCCTGTTAGAAGTCCAAGAGCCTTGTGACTTCATCCCATCTATTCACTTGTTCACTTGTTCACTTGTTCACTTGTTCACTTGTTCACTTGTTCACTTGCTCCTGGGCGGGTACCTGGAAGTGGACGGAAAAGCCACCGTCCCATCTGTCCCCGGCGTCAAACCCTATTTATTGCCCGTTGCTTGGTTTTTTGCTCTGTCATCTCTTCCTCTCGCACAACAAACGACCAACGGCAGAATACTTCCAACTGCAGGTATTCCCAGTCACAACCTCGAGTTTCCGCTACTGATCTGCCAAACCGCTTGGTGCCAACCTACCAATTCAAGAAACTACAAATTTGGAACAGCACCGCACAACAAAGGTACGTGCAAATATTCACCACCCTCCAGAGTTCCGACTCCAACAACTGTACAACCCGTTCGACTCTCTGGCACCTTCCTCCCAAGATCCAGGCGCCCCTCCCTGCCCCTCTCACATATGCCCTCCTTTTCCCAACCATTACCCATGGCGCAGTCATCCAACTGATTCGAGTGGCTAAAAGCCTTTAGGCAGACGATCATTGGAACTGCTCACCCACATTCAAGGGACTGGAGCCAACTAGCAACATCCGAGATCGACTTATTCACTGACTCAGTCGTAATCAGCCATCCAGTAGAAATCAAGACCTGTAAGTGAATTGTCGACATTACTGTGTTTAATTGCATTTGGAACGGCTTGCTAACATTTGTTCGACAGCTCCAATCATGGCTTCTGCCAACGTCAGGAATGGGTTTCCCAAGGATGTGCCGGCCTACGGAAACTGGCCTGGCCAGTATCTTCTTCTCAGCTATGGCGACAGGGTCCGCATCATCGCCCACGCAATGACTTATGACCAGCTCATCAGCATGATCCGTCGCGGATTTGGCATTGGCCGATACGACAATCTGACCCTACTTTTCAAGCATATGATGCCCCAGGGCAATACCATCGAGGCCGAGCTGGATGAGTCCGCCTACTATCTTATCAAGAACCAGTCCGAGATTCGCTGCGTCGATACGCTTCAGTACCTCAACACGAAGCGCCAGGCTCCCCAGGTACCTCTTGCGGGTTACACTCAGCCGAACGTTTATCCCAGGTACAGTTCTGGGTACGACAGATTGTTCGCACCTTTTTCGACTGCGCCCTCGAATCCATATGTGGTGCTTATGCCCGCCCCTTCAATGCAGCACCAGCATGTTCCCCAGATCACTGGAGTGACGGCCACCGGTGAAAAGAGCAATGCTTTCGGTGGTGTTGCTGGCCAGCCTACGAGCACCGGAGCTGCCACAGCTGCCCAAGTTTCCCAGCCGGCCCCTGTCAACGAGCCCGAGAGAGATCCCAGAACTGATCTTCCAAAGGGCTGGCTTATGTTTTCTGACGACGAGCTGCCCAGAGACTCAACTGTGAAGCTGGGTAACAACCTTTTCGGTAAGAAGGCCATCAACACTGCCGCGACAGAGGGACCCAACCAGACCAAGAATTCCATCATCCATCCCAATCTGTGGAGGCCCGTCATCACGTCCGAGAAGCAAACCGAGGCGCCCCAAGACAAAGGGAAGGGGGTCATGAAGAAGGAATCAGCTGGGGAATCTTCCAAAGAAAAGAAAGCCACAGGGTGGTGCGAAGTCACTGCTACTTACACTGCCATGAAGTCTGCTTTGGCGTCACGCTCTACACCCGTGGATCGCCGTCTCGTTCACGATTATCTGGTCGCAAGCACCTATATGAATGGCGGCAAGGAGCCGCTCTGCGAGCCCGAGAGAAAGTTTCTCCTGAGCGTATTCGGCCGTTGCTATGCAACGAAACCAATCAAGTACCTCGCGGATCTCCGCCACGACAGTGAGATCTTGGAGATCCTGCTCAGTCATACCCCTGGTTGCAATATGAGGTGCGCGGCAGATGTCAGGGACAAGTGCACCTGCGGCGGACCTCAGGGGCCCAAAGAGTGCTGTGAAGAGAGGCTCAAACCCTCCACGATCGGAAACATTTTGGAATGTGCAAAGAGTCGCCTCAGGGATGCTCTGGACCGCACTGGCATCGTCTCGCAGCGCGACATCAAGGGCGAGACGTTTTACTTTCACCATGAGAAATGTGTCCAGAGCATGTGCATCTGTACCATCTTCGCAACTCTGGCGCAGCATGAACCTATTTGTCTGATGAGAAGTCGCCTCGATGTCGAGATGGTCTGTGACTGTGACCGCAACACCAAGCGCAGTCAACTTCCGAAATCTCAAGACACAAAGTTGATCCAGACCACACTTGGGTGGGTTGGTGATCTTGGGGAGGTTGATGGTGAGACCTGTGCCCAGGAAATTTTCCGTCGGAAACATATTGACAGCCTCGTGCGCAACTTTCACGAGCTCACTTGTAGTCCGCTCAAGGATGAGAATTGCGGTGACTGCTCAGTGTTCCGGATCCTGCTGGGACATCACTGGGATTGTCCCATGAGGCTAAAAGTGGACCTCGGCGATGAGTGCCAATGCGACCGGCTTCGGCGGGAGGACGATGAATATCTGGAAGGCGATGATGAGGTGGGCAGTATCAAGTGGGTTACCGATGGTCTGCACGAAGCAGCGAAACTGTACCGCGGCAACAACCTCACCAGGGAGGAATGGAAGGAGGCCATAACGGACTTTCACAATGAGTGGTGCCACGGCTGGTGCTGCTGCATGCGTCTGAGGGATATTGCCGAGCATGATCCTGACTGCGGGGGAGTTCAGGATACATTCGAGGATTGGAAACTTTGCAGCTGCAAGAAGAGTCTTAACCCTCGCGGCACTTCTGACGTTGCAGAAGAGGCCATTCATGTCGAGGCTTCTACCAAAGTCAAGGAGTCTGGTGTTGATGACGAGAGCGACAATGGCGAGGAGTGGACACCCACCACCAGTGTGGTTGACGAAGATGATGACGATCTGCCCGATCTCATCCCTCACCTTGGTTCTGATACCGGAGGCTGGAAGTTTCCAGGTTGGTGTGAACCCCTGTTGGAGGAACGTACGCGCAGTTTTGAGGCGCCAGAGCACCTCAGCAAGCAGCTGACATCGAAGCAAAATTGGCTTCGCAATATGACAGACAAGAAGCCAACGGAGGAGAGGGATATCAATCTCGAGGAGCTGACCGCTACGAACAGGCAAGGACTGAGCATGGACGAGACGACGGAATTGATTGCTAAACAAGTCGACAGATTGAATCAAGCCAGTTACAGGTACTGGGAATCTAAGAAGGCGAAGCTCGAGGATGATTCGGTGAAGGAGAGTTTGCAGACCTCTGAGAGGGAGCACGGGAGCAACGACAATGAGTCGAACGCAACAGCGTCTTCCCGGGTTTCCGTCCAAATGCCTGAGGCGAACCCGGGTGCTTCCAGCTCCAGGGCTAGCCACAGGGCCACTGTGGAGGACTTCCCTGAGATGCCCTCGGACATCGCTACTGGGGGTGGCTTTGATTCGGCGAAGAAGACTCACTCAGCCTTTGGCCAGCCAGACCTGTGAGGAAGAGCAAAGGGGTGACGACATCAAGTCGAACGCGAGCACATATTCCTGGGTGTCCGTCCGGATGCCTAAGAAGAGCTCTCGTGCTTCTAGCTCCAAGGCTAGCTACAAGGTCACTGTGGAGGACGGTGTCGCTACCGGGGGTGACTTTGGCTTTGGGTCGTTGCTGGCCTTTCCAGGAATAGTCGATCTGCCTGGCACCCTCTGCCGAATCCAATCGATCATGACAGGGATCTTGCAATTTCTTTTCTTTTCTGGGCTGGGCTGGGTTTGTCGGGCAATAGGTGTATTGGTTGGGCGTTGGTTGGCTTTTTGATACCCGAGACTGGTAGTCTCCATGGACTTTGGGACGGGGTATTATGCAGGTACTGGATCCTGAGAGCCAAGGATTCATTATGGGGGGGGAATGGAAAAAAGGAAACAATCACCAAAAAAAAAGGGAGGTATGTTTGGTAGTGTAGTCTAGGTTCATCTGCTTGTTTGGCAGCCATAAGCGCTGGGTTTCTGTATATCCTCATGCTTTGTTTTGCTACGTGAGGGATCTGTTTTGTTTTGGCCAAAGAGCGCACGTGAATGTGAAAATAACTTGTTTTGGTTTCCTGATATTTACAACGCTAGGAGACTACCGACATGCCCCATCATTGAAGATGCTCAAAGCCTAGCACCGCCCTCCTCCCCCTTGACCTCCACCATCAACTTGCCGGTATTCTTGCCTGTAAACAACCAGTCAAAGGCCTCCTCGGCACTCCTCACACCACCCTTGACAACCGTCTCCTTCCTCCTGAGCTTCCCCTCAGCCGACGCAGTGAGT